TGTCATTACTTTTGTTTTGTTGAAGTTACTTTTTAGGCCTTTTTGCAGTGATTTGTCATCAAGTTCATTCAGCATTAATTCCAGTTCTTGTCGTTCCGAGGAGATCAGGAGTATATCATCCGCATATCTAAGGTGATTTAGGTATTTTCTGTTAATACATATTCCTCTGTTTTCCCAATCTGTTGATTTTATTATGTCTTCGAGGGTCAAGGTAAACAGTTTAGGTGAAATTATATCGCCTTGTCGGACTCCTCGTTTAACTTTTATATTATCCGTTATTAATTTGTCGTCCAGAATTACGGTCATGGTTGCGTTTTGGTAAATATCATGTATAAATTGTCTGTAATTCTACTATTGACCAGAGCTTCTTCAACCGCCCAGTGTTCAATGCTGTCGAAAGCCTTTTCATAATCTACGAATGCTAAGTACAGCGGAAGGTTGTATTCATTGGTTTTCTCAATTTAGAGTACAAGTAGATTAGAAACTATTAAATAATTTCCAATTTAATAATATTGTTCATTTATAAAAAAAATTATTAACTTGTTTTTTCATTTACTTAGGTACCTTCCTGCAATTAAAATTACAGACTCACTCTATTAAAAAATTTATTTTGATGTTTCACATTATAACACATTTGCACCTTACATTGCTAAAACACTAAATATTGCTACAAGTTACTATCACCACTTATATTCTAATGATTCTCCTCTGAAAAATTTATATCTACATAGAAATCTTCAAATTCATGGGGAACGTACTTTACAGCTTTCTTAAGGTCCCCAATTTTTTTCTTTCTTAGCTTTCTTCAAGCTACTTAGCAAGGTAGCATTCGAGAAGTATAAGCTTGCGCTTTAGGAAGCCGAATGGTTTGTGGGTCAACTTCACTAACATCGAAATTACTATAATATTACTATATAGTAGTAAGCAGCATTATTAACAGCATTGAGTGTATGAATAAACCATGATGTTTTAGTATTACCCTTGTTGTCAGAAGAATATTCAAAGTAATAATACTTTGACGTATTGAAATATTCTCACTTTCTCCATGAGAGAGCAGCACTCTCAGTTGAACAGACTCTCTTCTTGTATACGTATACCAATTATCAAATAGATTATACACAGGACAAGAATGAATGCCCTCTAAGAGGGAAGAAATGTTTAATTGTTCTGAACCGGCCGTTGATTTTTATTCTGACCCGGACAATTGTCAGAAAATAAATAAAGTTCAGTTACTGAATCTGGAACATTTTCTTCAATGTAGCCTACAAGAAAAGAAGCTACATCATTTGCTCATTTTTTGCTTGGTCTTCGTAATATAAGTAAAACTAAGCATTGTCCAGTTTTTAAATTGTAAACACAAAAATTGTTCACAGTCAACTGCCGAAGGTAGTACATCTCTTGCACTAGAACTTTTGGTAAATCTATATTTTTCGCATAAAATCAAAAACCAAACCCAAAACGTTAGCATTTTGTTTTGATAATTCTTTAGAATTCGCCAATGATGAATAAAATCATTGGGCTCGATGTTTGTGCAACATTAGTTCTGCTGCAGAAACCTTGTTTGCAGTTTTATAAGTCTTGGGTCTTTGATGCGTTTATTTTTTCCTCGCAAGCGTGACATGTATCACTAGGCGGCCGGCCAAATCTAAAATCTAATTTTTCCTTAAGTACTTATAGACTAGGCGGCATCTGTATACATTCAGACCATAATGGAAATTTTCGAGGGAAGCTATTTTTTTGCCGAAATCCCTTCAGGATATGCCCAGTATCGATAATCACGATATGCGCCAGTCGCAAACCCTGTGCTAAATTTTTTATTTAACAAAATCTGAAAACAATTGAAAATTTCTCATTTTTTTGCTCCTATTTTCATTTATAATTGGAAAAATATTGATCTTAGAGAGAAAATTATGAGTGGTTAAAGGTTTCGTTATTAAATTTTACATAATATTTTGTTAGCTAGAAATTGAAAATTTATTGGTTATTGTTGAAAAAATAGCAATAATTGGAAAAAAATGTACAAAAAAATGAAGTTAATCCTTTAAATGTTTTCGACTTTCTAAACTTGACTTACAAGTTCCATATTCCGTTTAGAAAAACTTTTTAATATGTTTAAAAAACGTGTGCTAAATTTTGTTAAGATCGGTCGGATAGGTTTTGCATAATAATTTTGCAATCCAGTCTACTGGAAAAAAATCGCAAATTTTCAAATTCATAGTAGGCCCTAAATAAGGCCTTCAGATAGTTGCAATTTTTTTAACATATAAAGGAAGTCTCAGACTTTCAAACGCTTTTTGTAAAATTCAAATCGGTTTACTAGGAAAGCCTATAAAATTTTTTTAAAGTTATAAACATTTTTTAGGCTTATAAACAAATTAAATAACTTTACGAGCTTTAAACATATCAATTTCAAAATGTATACACTTATAGAACATTAAAAGACGCTTCTTTTAAAAAACAAAAAGATACATTCGGCTTACTGGTTGCCGAGATATTGAAGGTCAAAGTTGGCATACATTTGCCGTGTAACCATAAGTGATAGAGGGCTCGTTTTTAAACAAATACCCTCGTCTTGTCAAATACTTTTTATATGAAAAGTTTTACGTAATGCGCTTTATGACAATATCCATAAAAAAGACAAATAAAAAACCATTTTCGCGTAATATGTGGCTCGGAATGCATGAGAGGTGGTGATGAGGGACATTCATTTCAAATGTGAATCGGCGAGTATCAAGTAGGGGACCATCAGTTTGTTTAATTTCGGGTTTTGAAATAAAAACAAATAGTAAAGTGCTCCAAAATCTGTAAGGGCTTGTATTAAAGGCGTGCTGAACACGTTTTTCAGTGGTTTGATCATATTATGTTCAACGCTATTATATTATTATTTATGAAAAGAAAATTTTTGTTTCATTCGCCTTTGTTTTAACAATTTAAATTATTTATTAACAATTTATAAAATACATATTTGTTTACTAAAAGTAACAATTTACTTCAATGTATAATTGCAAGCTCAAAAAAAAAACAATTTCGAGCATTACACAGCAGTATAATAACACGTCAATATACAATATACACGTCACTTTCGAATCAAAAATATATTCTCAAATCAAATAATGTCATTATTATGATAAAACTGCAGAAATAAATAATTTTTAATGTTAATTATTTTAAAATGTTTGATTTTTACAAAAAAAATTTCCTTCGTTTTAACAATTCAAATTATTTATTAACAATTTATAAATACATATTTGTTTACTAAAAGTAACAATTTGCTTTACAAGCCCTTACAGATTTTGGAGCACTTTACTTTTGTTTATATTTCAAAACCGAAATTAAACAAACTGATGGTCCCCTACTTGATACTCGCCGATTCGCATTACGTAAAACTTTTCATATAAAAAGTATTTGGCAAGACAGGGTATTTGTTTAAAAACGAGCCCTCTATCAGTTATGGTTACACGGCAAATGTATACCAACTTTGACCTTCAATATCTCGGCAACCAGTAAGCCGATTGTATCTTTTTGTTTTTTAAAAGAACGTCTTTTAATGTTCTTTAAGTGTATACATTTTGAAATTGATATGTTTAAAGCTCGTAAAGTTATTTAATTTGTTTATAAGCCTGAAAAATGTTTATAACTTTAAAAATATTTCTAGGGTCTCCCAGTAAACCTATTTAAATTTTACAAAAAGCGTTTGAAAGTGTGAGGCTTGCTTTATATGTAAAAAAAATTGCAACTATCTGAGGGCCTTATTTAGGTCTACTATGAATTTGAAAATTTGCGATTTTTTTCCAATAGGCTGGATTGCAAAATTATTATGCAGAACCTATCCGACCGATCTTAACAAAATTTAGCACACGTTTTAAACATATTAAAAAGTTTTTCTAGGTGGAATATGGAACTTTTAAGTCAAGTTTAGAAAGTCGAAAACATTTAAAGGATTAACTTCACTTTTGTACTTTTTTTTCCAATTATTGCTTTTTTTATTCAACAATAACCATTAAATTTTCAATTTCTAGTTAACAAAATATTGTGTAAAATTTAATAACGAAACTTTTAACTACCTATAATTTTTTCTCTAGGATCAATATTTTCCGAATTATAAACGAAAATAGGAGCAAAAAAATGAGAAATTTTCAATTGTCAGATTTTGTTAAATAAAAAATTTAGCACAGGGTTTGCGACTGGCGCATATCGTGATTATCGGTAATGGGCACATCCTGAAGGGATTCCAGCAAAAAAATAGCTTCCCGTCGAAAATTTCCAATCCAAAACAGATCCCGACTAGACTATTATGATAAAAACTATACTTAATATTACTTTCAGGATACGTTTCACGAAATAGTTCATCCATTTTTTGAATTGACAAACATTCACTTATGTACAAAACATCTTTAGAATGCCATTCTTTTGTTGGAAAGGAACTAATATGATTGTGTACCCTGACGGTTTCACTTTCACATATTTTATTACTATATTATATTTTATTACCACATCTGTTTTTTCCTCGTAAACTTGTCACTCGCTTGTCCTGCCAGAAGGACATGATATTTGAATGATTGTTTCTTCAATGTAGCGTCTGGTTGACGAGTTCGATGCCATTTACCTTCTACTGAAAACTTCTATAATGTTTCATTAAGTTACAGGGGTGAAAACAATAGAGCAAATTTAGTGTCGACTTAGAATTTCAAATATCTCATTCAAAAAAACCTTTTGGTCATTATATGGGACTTCCAGCCCTCGGTACTAATACAATGTTTCATTCTGCCTTTAAATTTTTCAAAAATATTTATTAGTTTTCTCAGGATTGAAAAAAATTAATACATTTAAAACGCATTGAACATTTTGACAGGCGACATTTTGCGCCTACGCCCTCAATGAAAGACAATCCATTTGATTAGAGGAAATCATCTTTAACTCACTAGTTCCCATTGAACAAATAATATTTTTTATACTTCAAATGTGCCGATTATAAGTAAAGCTGAAAAAAAATGACTTACCATAAAATCAATCGCATGTCCAGCGGAAAATTGAGCACCTTCTGAATACAACATATCCATGTCATCTCTTTTCGGTTTGGCCACTTTGAATTCATTTGTTAACTCATAATCTTGACTAAATTGCCAGGAAAAGTGTTTAAGACTAGTAGAACCTACTTGGGGCAGAGACCATGGAGACCACTCGGTTGTACCTTCGAATTTACAACAAACTCTAAAGGAATACTGTTCGTTGGCTTTGAGATCTTTTTGGAGGAACTGGTAATCTAGTCCTAAACAAAAATTCGTATACAAACAGTGAAACATTATTTTAGAGCTCGTTTATTATAAATCATATATTATAATTCATATTTTAATGCTATTTAACATGTAATACTAAAAACGTTTTTTTTTCGGGTGTAGCGATGGTGTCAAAATATTAGAGGAAGAGTCATCAGCAGCCATAGGATCCCGCAGCGATGCAAAGAGCAATCGATGCCGTGAAGAAAGACGGAATGCCTTATCAAACGGCTGCTAAACTTTACAATGTGCCTAAGAACGCATTAAAACGTCGCGTACTAAATAAAAATCAAGACGCCACTGACAATAAAAAAGTATTAGGTCATTTTCGAGCTGTTTTCAACGAGGAACAAGAACAGCATTGGGTAAATTATTTCTTGGAGATGGAGGTACGTTTTTTTGGAATTACTGTAGTTGATTTGCGCAGCCTTGCTTACCAATGAACGGAACTTGGCTGAACGGAATAACATGCCCCAAGATTTTTGATATTTTGGAGGATGTCCAAAAATATCACATATCCTCCTCATAGGGTTTACAATGTTGATGAAACTGGGCTTATGACTGTCCAGTCGCAGTCTTCAAAGATCGACGTAAAAGGGCGACGACAAGTCGGATCTCTTATAACTGCAGAGAGAGGTGTTATCAGCACATTTGTAATTTCTATGTCAGCTGGGGAAGTTTTTATTCCTCTTTTTTATAATCTTCCCTAGACAGTGGAACTTCAAGACGGCGCTCCACCTGGAACAGGTTTTGTTCGTCATCCTTCTGGGTGGATGCAAACTGAGATTTTCACACAATGGTTTGACCATTTCTTGAAGTTTGCGAAGCCATCCGAAGACGACCCAGATTTGCTCACACTTGATAGACATTCCACCCATACAAAAAATCTAGATTTCATTGAAAGGGCTAGAAAAATCACACAACTGTAGTTTGTATCCTATCCCCCCCCCCCATACTGTAGTCATAAGCTGCTGCCACTCGATGTTTCTTTCACGGGCCTTTCAATACTTATCATGTCCAAACGATCGAAAGATTCTTGCGTAATAATCCTGGTAGATTAGTGACACAGTATCAAGTATCTAAACTTCTTGGAGAAGCATTTCCATTTGCAGTTACTACATCTATTGTGGTAAAGGAGTTTGGAAAATGTGGCATAGTTCTTATAAGCAGAGAGAAGTTTACTAACGCGGATTTTGCAGCAGTCATGACCAGATAAATTTCTGTGCAAAATTCGATTTTTATTCAAGAATCTGAAATTCAAGAACTGGGTGTTGTATACCAAGAACCTTCTGCTGTAGTGCCAGGAAAAGATTTGGCAGATTCGCAACAAAATATTCCTCGACGTGAAAAGACACCACTTGCAAGTAAAGAAAACCCGCCTTCTGGAGAGATACGATTTCCGACCAGTAAACTCTGCATCAAACGCTTCAGTTCCTATGCCTTTCAATGACCACAGAAAAAATGTCACTGTAGGGTCTGGAGATCCAAACTCTACATTCGTTCTAATCTCTAAAGACTCGCCAAAGCCAAGTAGTTCAACATTCTAGCCCAGTCCACTGCCTTATTTCAGTACTTCATGTGATTTAATCAGCAACTTCAAGGGCAAAGGGCACTATACTTTTATTGTAAGTCCACAGTATATTGTTCCAATTTCTAAAGTAAATATTATAAACCGACAAAATAAGCGAAAAAAAAAGGAAAAGCTGCAGTTTTGACCTCAAGCCCTTTCAAGATGGAACTAATAGCCGCAAAAGCAGAAAAAGAAGAAAAGGAAAAGTTTAAGAAAATAAAGCTGGAACTGAAAAAAGGAAAGCAGACAAGCAACAAGAGGAATAAAAGAAGCAAAGAAAAATTTAACGGAAAGCAGCAAATGAAATCAAAATCAGGGAAGCGTGCTTTATTTAATGACTCGAACAGTGACGTAAGTGATGCTGATTGCCTTTTCTGAGGGGATTTATAATAATCCAAGTCAAGGGAAAATAAATGATGGATAAAGTGTTCGGGCTGTTTACGATGGGCACATGAAGCTTGTACTAGGTGTGAAGAAGAAGACAATGACTTTATTTGTGACGTTTGTAAATAAACTCAGTGTGAAACTTTCTTCTTTTACGATGGAAATAATGTTTTTATTTTGAAAATACACTTTTAGTATACAAACTCAGTTTAAATTTTGTATTTTCCATCGGGCAAAGTAGCCACCTCATGGCCAGTTTGCCCACCCTGGAGGGCAAATTGGCCATTTGGTAGGGTTAGGGTAAAAAAATGTATCTAAAAATTTACCGAGATAAAGTTTAAAATTAAAATTGCGTTACGTAGCTATAGTGTATTTTTATGTATGAGAGAGTAATAAAACAATAAATTATGTATGCAAATCCCTAAACTGTTGATATGGGTGACTCAATGAAAAACAGATATTTGTCAACAAGTTTACAGAAGTATAAAAGGAAAACAATTTTAAATTGAGTATGACCACCAGGTATAAAGGTTGGAGCAGAATAGAATACAATAGTTGTAAGGGTTACTAATCCCTAAATAAGGTTGCCAGTGTCGGAGTGATGGAGGTTAACAGGTACTAATGAATTTGCAAGAAATGTAAGATGTTTATTTTATTGGTTATATATAACCAACAAAAGTTTAATAAGTACCTACCTATTCGCAAAATAAAGTTTAATTCTTTAGATAAAATAAAACGTTTTATTTTATCTGAAATGAGTGCATTCCACGAAGTAAGGGTTTCAACAATCAAACATTTAATTTTTTAATCCAGGAATCTACGACAGTAATTGACTAGATAATTACCTTCTAAACTTATTCCACAGAAAATGTGATAGTGGGTTTTTCCATTTTGTAGGAAGGTCCAAGTGGCGTATTCAAAATTCTTAACAGTTCACTAAAAGTAGGTACTTCTGTTGCAAGGTGCAGTTTATTGTGTATACTAGTGTTATGGAAAATTTGGAAGTGCCGTGTAAACGCCGAAAAATTGGTCCTTTAACAGTTAATGAAAAAACATTAATATTTAATTGTTTTAAATCATTTACAGACAAACGTTTATGTGAAAGTGTTGATGAGACCGTTGAGTTAGTTAGCAGTACACTTGGTGTTGGGAAATCTACGATTTACACAGTTATTAAAGAAGAGAAATGTGGTAGTTTTCAAATGCCACGTAATGCTTCAGGGAAACCAAAATTTCAAATAGAATATCATTTTAAAGAAGGACTTCGACGGAAAGTGCATGAATTCTTCTTTAGACAAGAATTTCCAACATTGGATAAAGTTCTTGTCTCAGTTCGAGATGATAAGGATTACCCAGAAATGAGTCGAAGTACGTTATGGAAACTTTTAAAAGAAATAGGCTTCCGCTGGAAAAAGAATCCCAGAAAGTCTATTTTATTAGAAAGAAGCGATATTGTCATATGGAGAAGACATTTTCTAAGAACCATAAAGGAAATGAGAAACCAAAAAAGAAAAATATTTTATCTTGATGAAACATGGATCAACGAGGGTCATACACCAAATAAATTTTGGCAGGATGAAACTGTTATAAGTCAAAGGCACGCTTTTGTAAATAACTTATCTACTGGTTTAAACCCACCATCAGGAAAGGGACGCAGGCTGATAATAGTACACATTGACAGTTCAGACGTTTTGTTGAAGGTGGTTTATTAACTTTTGAATCAACTCGTACCGGTGACTACCATGAAGACATGAACGCTGATGTCTTTCAAGAATGGTTCGAACAAATGATAGATCTTCTTCCTAAGAACTGTGTAATACAAACTGTGTAATACTGTGTTTAACCAAGTGGTTAAAAAAAGACTTGCAGAATTGGCTGAGTTCAAAAAATATTACGTACCATCCCGGATCTATAAGAAAGGAACTTTATTCGTTGTGTGCCCTTCATAAAGAAAAATTTTAAAAATACGAAATTGATGAAATTGCCATAAATCGTGGAATGACAGTACTTAGATCCTCACCATATCATTCTGAATTAAACCCGATTGAACTGGTATGGGCACAGATAAAGAGTGAAGTTTCAAGAAAAAATACCACTTTTAAAATTCATGATGTTAAACAGTTGTTTTTGGAGGCCGTAAATAATGTAAAACCTGAAAACTGGGAAAAGGCAGTAAATCACACTATTAAAGAAGAGAAAAAATGTGGAAGCTGGACAATATTACTGATAAAATGATCGAGCCAGTTATTATAAATCTTGGTTCTGAAAGTTCATCTTCTGAATCTGATTTGGATTTGTAACAAGTAGCTGTAAGTTTTATATTAATATTTTTATTCATCTATTTAACATACCTTAGACGTTTTAAAACTCTTTTTCTCTTTTGTAATTTTTTAAAAATTAAACAAAATGTGAATTTTTTAAAATCCTTTTTAATGTAGGCCAGTCAGTTCTATATAGTGTGTGATAAAAGAGGTCACTTTTGTTTACATACACATAACACTTTATAACACTGAAATAATTCATTTATTTTTTACAATTATTCAAAGTAATTTTTCAATTAATCTTGAGCACGCCCATGGAGTGGTCGGGGGTACCAGTTAAAATTATGCTAATTACTCTCTCGTTCATAAAAATAAACTATAAGTATATAGGATGTCGTATGTTAATATATATGGCATGTTAGCATGGCCATTTTACCCACCGTTCCCCTAGTGGACGCAATTCTCTGAATGATGATAATATTAAAATCACAAATATTTAAGATCCGTGACAGTGACCGAGGAAATTAAAATTTGTTTAACTCACCCTTGTAAGTATCGTGAAAATTGACAACTAAATGTTTATCTTCGTACACGTTTCCTAGTGCCTTTTGAAGTCTAAATTCTTCTATATCAGTCACCTTTTCTTCATTATCAACCACAACTTTCCATTCTACTAAAACTGCTCCAGGTTTTTCTGTTAATTCAGCTATCTAAAAAACTAGAATATTAGAAAATAGATAACAAATTTATACAAGAAAATGATTTTAGTAATATCTACAAGATAGTAGTCTTGTAGATTGTAACTTGTACGTCACAATAATTATACTCTAGGATTCTTCTTCTTCAAGTTCCACTCCTATCGGAGATTGGACATCATTCTGGCAATTATAATTTTATTGGTTACTCGCCTGAATAGTTCAACTGAACTGCATCCAAACCATTCACGGAGATTGCGTAGCCACGAGATTTTACGTCTTCCTACGCTTCTTCTACCTTTGATTTTACCCTGCATTATATTCCTTAGTAGTTCGTACTTTTCACCTCTCATTATGTGCCCCAAGTATTCCAATTTCCTGATTTTTATGGAATTTAAAACTTCGCATTGTTTTCCTAGTTGTTCGAGAACTTGTTCATTTGTTTTGCGATCCATCCATGATATTTTCAAAATACGTCGGTAACACCACATTTCGAATGCTTCTAGGTTTTTAATGTTGGATTTTTTAAGTGTCCAAGCTTCAACTCCATACAAAAGGGTAGAGAAAATATAACATCGAAGCATTCTTATCCGGAGCGATATATTGATATCGCGATTACAAAAAGTTTTCTCATTCTATTAAAAGTTGACCGCGAATTTCAATGCGGCATCTTATTTCTTTTGTCTGATCAGTATCTTCTGTGATCCACGCTCCAAGGTATTTGTACGAAGATATTTGTTCAATTTCTGTGTTATCTAGTACTAGCTTAACTTTGATGTTTGTGCTTTTGTAAATACCATGAACTTGGTTTTCTTCAAATTGATCTTTGGTCCATAATCGTTGCAATATATATTTAGTTGTTCAGCAAGGTGTTGCAGTTCTTCTAGTGTTCCTGCCAGAAGGACGGTGTCGTCAGCATATCTTATGTTATTAAGTGGCTCACCGTTTATTATAAGGCCCTCACTGATCTCGGCAAGCGCTAATTCTGAGATGGCTTCACTGTATAAATTGAATAACAAGGGTGATAAAATACACCCTTGGCGGACCCCACGGCGAATCTGGATATCCTTGGTCAGTTCGTTTCAACTTTCACTTTTGCTGTTTGATTCCAATAGAGGTTACAGATGATTCTAATGTCTCTACTGTCTATGTTTTTATTTAATAAAATTTCTTTAAGTCGATTATGCTGCACTCTATCAAATGCCTTCTCAAAATCAATGAAACAGGCATATACTTCCTGATTAATATCTAAGCATCTCTGCGAAAGAACACTTAATGCAAACAGTGCATCTCGTGTTCCCAGTCCTTTCCTAAATCCCATTTGTGTATTACTTATGACTTCATCGAATTTCTTATGTATTCTATTGTGAATTACTTTAAAAACAATTTCAAGACATGACTCATTAAGGCTATGGTGCGATGTTCATTGCACTCCTTTGAATTGGCTTTTTTGGGAAGCAGTATGAATGTTGATTGGAGCCATTCTTTAGGTATTATACCTGTTCTATATATGGTATTGAATAGATCCAAAAGAAGATCAAGAGATTCAGTATTCACAATTTTAAGTAATTCGATAGGAACTTCATCAGGCCCGGGAGATTTACCACCTTTAGCTAGTTTCATTGCATATTCAATTTCTTCTCGTATAATGCCAGGCCCAGTATCGTCCTTAAATTCTTTTGGTGTTAATTTCTTATATTTTTTATTAATTCCTATTAATTCTCTAATTCTTTTATGCATGTCTTAGCTTCTTTTATTCTCTTTTTTATTAATCGATCAGTTTCATTATATTTAATTGGATTTTTGTTTTGAATGATTTTCTTTCATTCATTAATAGTAGTATTTCTTCAGTCATCCAATCTTTATGTTTTCTATTCTTTGGTTTTAAGTTTTCATTTGCTGTTTTAATTATTGCTACTTTTATATTTTCCCATTTCTGATCAATGTTATAGCTACTTTTATTCAGTTCTTGGGCATTACGTATATTTTCAGTAAGAGTTTTTACAGTTTGTTCCTTTGTTTGTGGTTCCCTTAATCTCTTAATATCAATTCTACTTTGTGTGGGTTTTTTAACCAGTTTTAATTTGGTTCGTAATGTGACTACTCTAGGATAAATTTCTTATAATAAAATCATAAAATATTTCTTGATAATGTTACAAAAGTTCAACAAAAACATAGATACAATAACAAAATTTGAATTTCTAGATTTATACTTTTAAATCCAGAAAGTTTTTTTGTTTTCTGAACAGTTTTTTAAGCGGATGCGACATTTTGTACTTAAACAAGGGATATAATATACTTCATCTAATTTATTTATACATTTATTTGTGAATGTTCTTGAAAGCGATTTGTCTTTGGGAAAAAATTATCTACTCACAGTTATAAACTTTTGTATTTATTGTACACAAATGTATTTAATGCATAATAAAAACCGACCATTCCTCCAAATTTAGAAACAATACGAAAGCTGGTAGACATGACTGAAAGGAAAAACCGAATTCACCTATACAATGCAGGTCTTAAAATTTTTGGAATTAGTCGGGTGACAATTAATACCTCTATTGAATGTACATGCTGGTTGCTTATTATCTTAGATGACCTTCCGGGAAAAACAATAAAGCAATAACATTGAGCAAATAAAATATAGATTAAAACAGAAGTTAGAGATTAGAGTAGGTAACTGACAGGAATATTTATTTATATGAAATTATTGAACCTAACAGTATCGTCATATTGGTGAGTTTACCGTGCTACCAATCTAGTAATAGCGATTTAAAACTTAAATGCTGCCTATGCACCAATAATAATCGGAATCTGGATCACCTTCAAAGATATATATATTAATACGGATATTTTTTATACACAAAAAAGTTAGAAAAATAATTATATCGATATATGTGTAAGCTAGACATTGCATAGGGCAGCAGCTATGACATTACTCATTAAGGCTATAGCGGAATGATTTCTACTGTTTGCTTAATGACAGATACTGTCGGGCGGATATTACATAATGATTCAACCGGCCCATATACTGCGATCAGGTAGGCAAGGGGAAACCACAGGATTATATTCCCGGGGCTACACCATCATGAATGTATAGAATCAGTTAGATATGCTTAGCGATCCGATTAGCGATCGGCGCTCAATTGGGAAATCAGATTTTCAATTAAGAAAAGCAATGGGAATAGCAACGTGAAATGTTCGAAGATTACTGCAACCAGGAAAACTGTATATACTACAACGAGAAGTTGAAAGAAAGGATATAGAAATATGCGGACTTTCGGAGACCCATTGGAAAGGACAAGGCCACTTACGAAGGACAGATCATGTTGTATACATATCGGGAGCAAATAACACAGAAAGAAATGGTGTTGCAATGACGGTGACTAAAAAAGTTTCACAATACATGTATGATTACCAACCGATAACTAACTTACTAGCTTACTAGCATCACCACACAAAATGCACATTCTTCAGGTCTATGTGCCAACTTCAGACGCGTTACATAATGAAGTGGAAGACGTATACTCAGTTATTGAAGAAATAATAAGAAATATTTGATCTAAAGAACCACTCATAATCATGGGCGATTTAAACGCTAAGGTACGAGAAACAAGAAATGATAACATCCAAAATGTAGGAAACTATGGGCTAGGTATTAGAAACAGCGGAGGCGAACGTTCAATAAATTTTGCAACCGGCATTTTGGCCAATGTAAACACAATAAGAAGTAGAACGAAGATTAAGGATATTGTGGATGAAATTACAAAAATGAAATGGCGCTGGGCAGGTCACGTAGCCCGATATAATGACAACAGGTGGACACGGAGAATTCTAGAATGGAGACCAAGGACGACAACAAGAAGCATGCGAAGACCTCAAGAAAGATGGGAAGATGACATAAGAGCAGTGGCAGGCAAACAGTGAATTAGATTGGCGCAGGATAGAGAAAGATAGAAGCAATTGGGAGATACCTACGTTCAGGAATAGATGGAAAATGGTTGAACAAAGAAAAAGAAACACAATGTTCAAACATTATGCCCGTCGTTTATTGACATGGACCAGCCCAAATGAAGAATACAAGAACCAAATCGACTACATATTGATTAGAAACAGATGGAAGACATAACATGTCTTCCATCTTCGATCATAAATTGTTATGGACTTGCTTCAAAATGAAGCTAAAAAGAACAATGCCGCACCAAAATCAAAACAGGCTGGAGATTTGAAATCAGAAGATATTTAGAGATGAATTAAAGGAAACTAGTATGTTGAACATACAAGACAACCCAGAAGAAATGAGGAAATGTTTCAGAAATGCCATAGAAATCTCTGTAGAAAGAACCAGAACCGAAAAAAACTGGGTCCTGGGTGCTTCTACTTTATCCGTCGGCAGCATTTCTGGTGTGTGCAAAGCTTGAAGGCTACCTCCGAGCGAGAAAAGTTTATACCTTTGTTGTGTTGTCTCAGACAAAAATTTTAGCCTGAGAAGCATGTATATATAAAAAAATACCAGTACAAGTATCATCATCAACTAGCCTCTAACGTCCACTGCTGAACATAGGCCTCTCGCATGCTTTTCCACTTAGTCCGATTTTGCGCCATCTGAATCCAATTTGTAGTCACTCTTTTTATGTCACCTGTCCATCTCGTTGGGGGTCGACCTCTATTTCTGTAAGCTTGTATTCGGGGTCTCCATTCCAAAATTCTTTTTGTCCACCTGTCAACAACTGATCTTGCTACATGACCTGCCCAGTTCCACTTTAGTGTTGTTATCCTTTCAATAACGTCTGCTACTCCTGATCTTTTGCGTATAGTAGCATTGGGTATTCTATCACGTAGAGAAATCCCTAACATAATTCTCTCCATTGCTCTTTCCGCAACTTGTAGTTTACTCACAGTTGTTCTTGTGAGCGTTAGGGTTTCTGCGCCGTAGGTCATCACTGGCAAAATAAATTGATTAAATACTTTTCTTTTCAGACACATTGGAATCTTAGACCTAAAAATATCCTTCA